GTTTTTAGCTTTTCATTCTATACAAAATACTAATTTTGTATTTTATTTTAAATGATTTTGCTCTAAATCATTGAAAAAAATAAAACCAGTCAGTACATTATTTGATTTCTTTCCATTTTGATAAAACTAAATAAAAAGGAATCTATAGGGGTATTGATGAAATACTGAATCAATAAGGTGCCTTGTTTAAAGTAGTAGTACCGATAAATCCTTTTGAAATTAGCCTAATAGGATTATTTAATCTTAATTAAATCTGCTTAAATAACCTGGTAAAACCAGTAAACAGGCCTGGAGATTAATTTCTTTATTTTGGTTGGTTTGGATGGCCTTGATCCATTTAAAAAGGTTTTGTTTTTTTTTAGCAAATCAATATCTTTGTTATTAAATTTGTTCAGTGATCTGAAACGTATAACGTATAAGAAAAACAGAACAAATCTTTAAGGGGGATGTAATGACTTAAAATTGTAAAATGCAGGGATCCCCAGAAGCTTGTTACCGTTTAACACAATTATATTAACAAACTCAGACCTACAGGCAGCAAAAAAATGCATAAATATAATAGGATAGAAGCTCCGTGAAGACAAATGTACTGCCACCGTTTGAGCGCACCAATCTTCCAAAGCTAGGCTTGGCTAACTCCATTTGCATGATAACCGGCAGCTAGTGAGCTGCAGGGTAGAATATATCAGCAGGAATTACTTTATAAATCATCTACAAAGCAAATCCAGACCTGTGTGCTGGTTCTGAATGCAAAAGATGACTTACTGAGTCAGAACGTGCTGCAGATTGGCTGAGGTGTGCAGAAAGAACAGCTACTTGTTTTGCAAGCAAATGATCCTCTTGGGATTTGTCTGTAACTTTTCACATTTTAGCACTCAACAACCACCAATCTAAATGTGCTTATTATGTATAAGACAAATAGAATAAAATAGTTTTTACAATAAAGTGTCTGATACATGTGGTGGGGATTTGTACTCGTCCCCCTTTAGTCTTTACTAGATAAACCACCTTTTGCTGCCGTTACATTTGCAGCCCTTTGGGGAATCTGCACCAGCTTTACTGATATTCTTGGTCTTTTCTTCTTCACAAAACCGCTTTTGTGTGATAGGAAACCATCAAATTAGGGCTGCAAATAACAATTATTGTAAATGCATCTGTCGATTATTTTTTTCAATTAATAATCGGATCACTAACGGTTCCTTAAAAAAATACTTTTTACGAAATGAAACCAGGTGAAACTTGAGGAGTTCTGGATAGAGAATACTGTCAGGCAATATTTTTTAAATGAAATTTTTTTTTTTACAATTTTGATGCAACTCAAGCAGGGTTGCTCTATCAGCTGAAGGCATATTTTACAGTTTATGTACTGCATTTAACAATTATTTGATAACTGAATTATTTCAATACTCTATTAATCCGATTAATTGCTTCAGCCCTACATCAAACCCAACAAACTTTTACTGGACGTTCTGACATTACATTTTAATTTAACCCTTTTTAGTTTAGATCTGCTTTCAAATATCCGCCATTCTGGTGGAAGGTGAACTTTTATCCCAATCTCAAATCTTTTCTGGTCTTTGAAAGATTTCTGGTTAAGTTGGCTACCATTGTGCAGCGCCCGGGGAGCAGTGTGGGGTTAAGGGTCTTGCTCAGGGACCCAGAGTGGCAGTCTGTGGGAGTGGGGCTTGAACTCTGAACCTCTTGGAGCCAAGCACAATGCCCTAACCCCTAGGCCGCAATTCCCCTAAGTATTTCTTGTTCGATTTAATCTCAATCATTTCTGGAAAAACAAAACACTGGTTTCTGGATGCAAATATTAAAAGATTAGTGTGAAGGCATTTGTAAAAGCACCATATGCCTGAAGCATTCTGCGGCCTTCAGCCAAGCCATCCTGAACACTCATCTGTCTCTTCCAGCTCTGTCTCAAACCATTTTTGTTTTTATATGCCTATAATCTCTCTGTCAAGTGAGCATCCGACTTAGAATAACTAAATTGTGGGCTAGTAGGGACAGGAAAAACGCAATCTAAACAAAACAGTTTTCTAAAGCTCACATTTTAGAACCAGTACTGTTAAAAAAGAAGAGGTGAGAGGAGGAGGGTAGAATATGGAAAGCAGAGGTAGGGTTGGGAGAATCTTCCATCTTGTGTGGAGAGGAGGGAGGCTGGGGGGGCACTAAGCACACAGACCAACACCCCCCTCCTGTGGCATTGCCAGAGAGCTGCAGACAAGGATCCAAGGACAAAGATTCATATATTCCAGCTTTCAAATCCACATTAGGAAAACGGCGCACACCCTTTCAACAAACACACACAAGTCCTGGGACGGTTTGAGCCGCTCAGTGTGCTCTGCTGCTGCAAGGCAGATAACAGAACACTCAGCTCCTCTTCCTCCCTTCTGCACACATAAGGCAGTGATTACCGAGAGCAATATGTGTGGAGAGAGAGAGAGAGAGAGACAGAGGGAACGATGAAAGGATGAGAGGAGCTGAAGAGTGAAAGGACTGCAACTGCCGTGTGAAAAGGCCCCCGCGTGCGGAGCTCTGCTCGAAGCGGGCGATAGGATAATTTCACCCCACTTTCCGAGGATCGAGAGTTTGAAAGGGAAGCTTAGTCACAAGCTGCTCTGCTTCCATTCAGAGCTTCTCAGGGGGCAAAACGTATGAACTCCCAAACATCACAACCGTCCGGGTTCTTCTCCGATCCGGCTGGTGGGAGAGCCCGGATGGAGGCGACGGCTGGACGGAACGCTCAGCGAGAATTAGGGTTTATTTATTCCCTTAAAACAAATCAGACTGGAATAATCAAATCCAGTCTTTTGAAAAGTGTTAAAATCATTTCCCCCTTGACAGATTTCCATTTTCTCTCTTCTTGTTGCACTAAAGTTTCAGATCCTAAAACTTATTTCTTTATCAGATGGAGATGATGAGGGAATAAAAATGGAGTTAATGTTTTCATCTTTTTCCAACCAAGAACGGCCTCCTTAAGGTCAAGCCCAGCCCTCAATCAAACTTTGGCCCAGATTTGAACCGCTCGTTCATTTCCTGTAACCCAAAGGCCTCTGACCTTTACCCCATCAACTTACAAACTGATTTCTAGGTAGACGATCCACTACAGATCAAATGCTGTGGTTCCATCATTAATAAGAACTAGAGATAGGCCGATACACCTGCTGGCCGATAACTTTGACCGATATTTGCATTAATTTTCTCGTATAGGTATTGGCTGATACATTTCTGGAATTCATAAGATCCCATGAAGCGAATCACTCCTACATTTGGTATCCAAAGTTAATATTTTTTGTGAATAATTAGTACTTTTTGTTTAAATAGATGCTTTTCTTACTTTTGTCAACATCTATTTATCATTTTAAAGAGAAGAAAAAGTAATATTGTATTCAAAAATTGGCCACACATATTGAGGATTGGTTAGACTAAGGCAGATAACTGTATCTGCCTTAAAATAATAATCTGTATAGGTCAATCTAGCAGTTGAACAGTTTTTATTTGTACAGAACTTTAAGATAAACCAGGGTTCAAATAAAACATAGAGGAAGCAGGTGGATTTAAACAAAGTTAAAATCCTAGATAGTTACTGTAAATTATAGTCAATAAAAAAAATAATAATAAGGTGTGGATTTCCTGCAGCAGCAGGGAAAAACCAGACCATCATCCTACCTCTGCCATGTCAGATCTGTAGTTAGATGGGTTTGTTTTGGAGATAGAATGATACTTCAGCTGGCTGATATTTGCAGCAAATATTAGCGCTTTATAATATTAGCAATATATGCATGCATTGGCTTATTCATTGGTGCATTCAGCAGCCTTGCATTGTCTCATCACATGAGGCACATGCATTGTCCAATCCATTTCCTATCAATAGCTAATATGTTTTATTTCATTTGTTAATAATTCTTTCTGTTTAAATTATGACTTGTGTAAGAATTGTTATCTTGGTGTCATCTAAATCGTGTAAATAGAGGAAGAGAAAACTATAGGAAACCGAGGAATTGGACCCCAAAAAATAAACTGATATATCAGCAGCACATATCAAGGCCGGGTTAAACTGATGAAAATAAACAGTGGTTTCAGAAAGGGCATGGACGCCTTCCACTTTTTTCCTTTAGTCTAGAAGCATCTATTAAAGGTTCTTGAGGATCATCATCACAGTTTAGGAAATGTAAAGACTTTCCTTTTTTGCTGCAGAGGTTTTCATTAGGGATTCTCATACTGAGGCCATTTTTCTTCTTCCTTGCTGAAAGATAAAAACTGCAGCAATTTTTTTTTTCTGCGTTCTGCTGTGACCTTCTGGAAGTAATTTCGGGGTGTTCCATGTTATCTCCATTTGTGGGTAACACCTCCATGTACTCAATTCAAAAATACTTTTTTTATTTCCCTTTGGTATTTATAAAGTTTAAGTCAGTTGGTATCAAAAAGTATGGGTTCGACTGCAGCCCTTTCCCGGCTGATGCATTATTTTCTTTTTATCTCATCTGCTTCTGGATTTATTTAGGTTTGATTCTTTTGGGGATCTTTTAGCCTACTTCATGCTGTCATACAGGCTCTATTAAGAACCTGCTTTTACAAATCTGGGTAATTAATCAAAACGCACAAATAAAATTATTGTTACCAGTAGTTTTGAATTGAAAAAAAGGTATATTTGATGGCTTTCTCCTGTTTGCATCTAATTATCATATTTGTTTTATGATCTGAAACGTTTAAGTGAGATAAAAAAAACAATAAATCTGTAAATATGTAAATGCTTCTTTGCAGCACCGTAAGGATAAACACCCACGGATGTATTTTTAGAGGAACCTTCTGCATCCACTGACGAAGCCGTTTACACATTACTGCACAAGACACGACGTCTGTTCTGCCTTTTTTCCAGCCTTCAAAAATATAAAAGCCGAATGATGAAGCCGACGTCGATCGGTCGGAGTCAAGGATTCTCTTTACGTTTATCGGTGGTTGGGGAGGTTTGCAAGCAAGTAATAAGCTCTTACCTGACTGTGAGGTGCATATCCATGGAAACCGGGGTTTAAAGGCTCATTGTTCTGAAAGAGACAACAGGAGGGAGGAGAGCGGCGTTAAGTTGCTAGGCTTCTGCAGATGAGCGGGAGCAGTGTGATGGAGTAAAACTCTGAAATGTGCTTAAAGGCAAAAAAAAAACCACAATGCATTCAGACCGACAAAGAAGACACTTTAATCATAACATAAAACACATTCTTTATACATTTATCTATTGTTTCAGCGTTTAGATTAACATTGCTGTTCTTTTTATAGGGTTTAATCATTATAAAACAAACTTCTTAAGAAAATAAATAGATTGACGTGAAGAATTCTCCTTGATCTGGAGGTTGGAGCCACGTTGGTTTAGTTTGATAAATAATGCTGATCTTCCACCATCATTCAGCTCCTTTAGAGAGTTGAATAGACCCTCACCATGATGCTGCCACCGTCATGCTTCACATTTGCTTTGAGGATTCTCGTCTAATAAACATTTATTCCAGAAAGTTCCCTCATGAGGAAACCTGCAAAATCCAGTCACTTTTTTTTCTTTAGCCATTTGAATAACATCCATCAAACCTGTGAACCAGCAGAATCATGCAACTCCAATCGAATCAGGAGCTTGTCGAGGGAGTTTTTCTGCAACTTTTTTGAAGAATATTCAAAAAAATCTTACTGTGTGTGCTTATATTAAAGCTTCCTTTGGCACTGAATGATTTAGCCCTAATCCACCACACACATTCAGTTCTTTTTCATAAACATCAAAGTAGGTTTTTGCAAGTTCCTGCAGGCTCTAAAAGTCTAAACTTATGAAAGAGCAAAGGAGACTCCCCCCGAAGCAAAAAGACAAAAGAGCAAATTAAATCAACGGTGAGCGAGTGGTCCGACTGGTGACCCAGAACTTTCATGCAGCCGAAACCGACCATTAATAAGCGGCACCGCGTCGTTCACCAAACGACCTCCATAGAAAACCACTGTTGTGGTTAATTGCTCTATAATTACTCTTAATTAGATTATTTCTGTCTCTCTCACCCTTTCTCTTCTCTTTTGTTTTCCTGCTCTGTGCCGTTTCTGACCTGGGAAGAGGAGCCATTGTCTGCCTCAGAGCTACAATATGGAAAGTTAACTAAATGATAGTTTAAAAGCAGCAAGAGAGCGAGATGGAGGGAGGGAGAGATGACTGCTGGTATGCCTCGCAGAGAAAACATGACCGCCTGGTGAGACTCATGTCTCTGCGCTCGAAAAGGAGCTGAGGCGTGAGTCTGACTGAGCAAGAGGCGAGGCGAGGCGCAGGGGGAAGGTCTGGATGGGTAACGGAGAGAAATATGTGCGTGTCTGTGAATAACTATATACTCTAGCGTTTGTTAAATTTAATCAGAAAATCTTCGATATCCATATGCTGCAGACCGCCTGAATGAAAAAAAGGGGAAAGAAAAGGAAAAAAAAAAGGTTGATTTAGACTCTGAGGACCGTCAACAGAGTTAACCTCTTAGCCTTGACCTGAAGCTGCCCGCTGCGGGAATCGCTTCCTAATTGCTTTCAGCCAGCCAATCAAGGCCAAGTGTATGAGACAGAGGGCTGTGAAGACACAAGTTTATATAAACAGACAGAGAAAAGGCTTATTAATCCAGAAGAGCTCTCTGTGCAACTGGGACCGGGAGAGAGGGAGGCTTTGCTGCTTTCCTACATCGCCTCGTTACAAACACAAACTTCCCGTTGTTTGATCTGAATGTGAAACAGTCCAGTGCAGACAGCTTAGTGTGTGCTGGTGAAGTGGAAGAAGGTATTTTTCCCATTTTCTCTGTAGAATAGCTTTAATTTAGACTCCATTTAGCTTCATCCGTCTTCCTCTCAGCTATAACCAGCCTTATCCCCACAGCATGACATTGCCACCACTATGCTTCACAGTGGGGACTGGTTTGGAGGATTCGGCAGTGTTTTGTTTGCAACAAACATTTCATTACATGTCCCCCCCTACATGGGATAGAAGTTTTCAGCCCTAGGTTAGTTATCCTGTGAGCAGGTTCCTCCACCTACATGCGGAATCTCTGCAACTCCTCCAGAGCTACCATGTGTCTCTGTACGTTTGCTGTTGCTACATCCTGTTTCCATTTTTTAAAGGCTCATCAGAGAATTTAAGCTAGGGATACAGTTTTAGAACCTTGATTAAAGGCTGTTGCTGCTGCAAACAGTGGGAGACATTCAACGTCCAGCAGTAATCTATTTACTAAGTAGGCATTTCATGACTGCATTAAACTCAGAGTAAAGGGGGCTGAAGATATCTGCAGGCTAAATGCTGCAGATTTTATACACAGTTTTTCCCTCTTCATAATTTTAGACTACTCTGCTCAACTATAAATGCAATTTTAAACTGCATTTAATTGGAAAAATATGTGGAAAAGGCTAAAGGGATGTAAATCCTTTTGCAGGGCGCTGTAACCTCAATGCATAGACCAATAAAGAGGTGTCTAGACACGGTGTGATTACTGGAAGCCAAAAAATATAAGTAGGATGTTAAAAAATAAACATTTAAAGAAAATTAAAGAGAATTTTTTTTTGTCTTTTCCTCTTTAATATGAGTAATAAACTCAGACTTGGAGTACCGGGACTTGGGGCCCGTCCTCCCTTTTCCCCGCTTGAAACAGCCCTCTCTTTGTCTTCTCCCTCCACTTCCTGTTTCATCTGGAACCAATTTTCCCCTCGTGCCTCGTCCCCAGGGGGAACCCTCTCCTTGAAGCGCTGCATTTACATTTATAACCGGCAGGCTCATATTGAGCAGAGAGCTGTCGGTGATGTGAAGCCTTGCAAAACCTTTTCTTGAGGGAAAAGAGAGTCTGAACATCTGGAGCATCATTTTAGTTCATTTCTACACAGTTTAAAAGAATAAAACTGTTAACTAAAGGTCTCTTAATGTTTGTTCTTATAACGGACAGGCTTGTTTGAAGCACTAGTGATGAGAAAGGACGGAGAATTTTGGTGCACCACAGCAATGAAAACCAGAATTATCCCAGACCATCAAATTGTAGAGTCTGTTGGTTCAAGAATCAAAAGAAGAGAAGAAAAAGCAAAGAGAAGGAGGAGTTTATGATGGAAAAAAGAAAAAGACACGCAGGGAGGGAGAGGAGGGGGGGTTTAGCAACATCTGGAATCAATCTGTTGGCAGAAAAAGGGGGAGCAATGGGGGAAGGAATGGTGAGAAAGAAAAGAAAAGAAAGGAGGAGATGAAAACAGGCGAAGGGAGGAATGTGGGTAAAAAGATGGCCAAAGTAAAGAAAGGGGAGTAAAATAATACAATAAACAGGAGCGAAGCAAATGAGTCACAAGCAAAATATGCCATGTGATTTATATTTTCTTAGGGAGTGGGGGAAGGGAGTGGGGGTCTGAGTTTGATCCTCTTTCTTCACACAAACTGTATGACTTGAAGTGTATCAGGAAAAAAAAAAACTCATCACTAATCGCCATACTGCTCTAAACAAAGGAAGAAAGAAAGAAAAATACAGCTCTCTCCTATACTCCCCAAACTTTCCACCAAGCTCCAGTCCTGGTGAGCTGGGAGGAGGCTGGGAAGGCGTTGGTTTCAGACTGAGCTGGCAGAGATCAGAAAAAGCACAGACATCCAGTCACACGCTCATAAACACAGCCTCCCACTCTCTGTCCTCCTCTCTTAACTCAACCCGAAGGCAAACCTGAAAAAGGGCGCCTGGCTTGTTTATTTTCCTCTATCTGCCGTCTGCTATTTTAGGAGGAATAGAACCAAAAAGTCGGGAGTAGCTGCAAGGAGCGGGGCGGGGTGGGGTGGTGGGGTTCAAGGAAGGCAGGCTGACATGAGGTCAACAGATGGTGAGAGAGGGGGAGGGGCAGGGGGGTAATTAGGCAGGCTGCTGCAGGCAGGCATCCGGAGGTACCTACCAGAACAGGGCTTGGCCCGACGCTGCCTTCACGGCGTTAAGAAGAGTCGGATCTAAGGAAATCCCACCTGCTGCCATCTGAGGCCGAGCTAAAACGTGCCCACATTGGCTTCAGATGCTATAGATGTTATAGCAAGCTGGAGTTTTAACTCCTGAAGGTGATCTTGGAGAAGTTATACTCTTTTTTTAAACGCTGGTGACAAAAAGCAAGCAGCAGCTACTGGTAAAGATGAGCAAAAGGGCGAGAAATTGTTAAGAAAAATGCATAAAAATTAGGATTAGTGCACCAACTGCAGGTTTCTGATCTCTAAAAAGTCTGACATGCTGATTCAGACTCATCTGTTTTAATCAATACCTTCTTTTTTTTATTTTTTACAACCGACACTATCAGTCTTGCTAAATATAGCGATAAAAACGTCTGAAATTACTGCCCTCGCCTATAAATCAATGTTTAGAGCAATGATTTATGCAGAGGAAGATAAGATCAGTTTCTCATCTAAGTATCGGCCGATCACCGATCCTCCAAAATGATAATTAAACATCTAAAATGGAAAAAGCTAATAATTTTGGCTATGCTTAGACACACGTTGCTGTTTTATTTTCCTTGATGAACAGCAGCTGTAACATGGGTTAACTTGGTCAGACAGCTATGAAAGGAATCGGACGTGTCACCAGAAGCTTCCGGAGCTTCAGCCTCCATCTGACTCTTTAATAAATGCACATCTCACTCCTGTTGGAAACATCTTCACAAAATAGACTTTTGCTGAGCTTCAAGGCTAATGCTGACAGGTTTCAATTCATTTAGGATGAAATTGTTTCTTGGATTAAATCGTAATTAATCAATTATTGACCTTAAAGTTGGATCAGAATGAAATACTCGTTAACTGGAGTATACAATCTCTACAAGGAATCACTAAAATATTTCTCAAATACTTCCAGTCTTATCTGAGATAAACTCCAGTTCACTTATTACCATCATCACATTTTGTGATGTTAAAATAACAGAAACCTGGAAAGTGAAACTCTTCAAACCAGATGTTACAAACTAGAAAAACTGAACTCAAGAGTTCAACCAATTCAGTGGGAGTCGGGTATTTTCTGCTATGCTTCTTTCAACATCTACATTTGCTCTCCACCCA